AAGTTGGCGTCGTCCTTCTCGCGCAGCTGCTGCAGCAGCCGCAGGTTCTGCTCCTGCATGTCCTCGAAGGCCTGCCCCGTCACGTCCATCTCCGACAGCAGCGCCTCCTCCTCCTGGGCAAATGGAAACAAGATGGCTGACATTATGGGATGGGCAAGATGGCCGCCGTCAGGGAATGTGAGCATCCACGGGGACAAGATGGCTGCCATCAAGGGAGTGACAAGATGGCTGCCATGAAGGGAATGGAATAATCCATGGGGGCAAGATGGCCGCCATTAACGCTGCCCCGTCACGTCCATCTCCGACAGCAGCGCCTCCTCCTCCTGGGCAAAGGAAAACAAGATGGCCGCCGTTGAGGGATGGGCAAGATGGCTGCCCTGAAGGGAATGGAATCATCCATGGAGACAAGATGGCCGCCTTTATGGGAGTGACAAGATGGCCGCTGTTAAGGGAGGGGCAAGATGGCCGCTGTTAAGAGAATTGGATCATCTATGGGGACAAGATGGCCGCCATCAGGAGAGTGACAAGATGGCCGCCGTTGTGGGAGGTGCAAGATGGCCGCCATTATGGGGGTTGGAGATCAGGCAAGATGGACGACATCAGGGAATGGAATCATTCATGGGGACAAGATGGCTGCCGTCAGGGGATGGGCAAGATGGCCGCTGTCAGAAAATGAAATCATCCATAAGGACAAGATGGCTGCCATCATGGAATGTGAGCATCCGAGAGGACAAGATGGCCGCCGTTATGGGATGGATGGGGTGGGGGATGGGACAAGATGGCCGCCGTTATGGGATGGGCAAGATGGCCGCCATTAAGAGAATTGGATCATCTATGGGGACAAGATGGCTGCCATCAGGAGAGTGACAAGATGGCCGCCGTTAACGCTGCCCCGTCACGTCCATCTCTGACAGCAGCGCCTCCTCCTCCTGGGCAAAGGGAAAACAAGATGGTTGACATTATGGGATGGGCAAGATGGCTGCCATGAAGAGAATGGGATCATCCATGGGGACAAGATGGCCACCATCAGGACAGTGACAAGATGGCCGCCGTTAAGGGATGGACAAGATGGCTGCCATGAAGGGAATGGGATCATCCATGGGGAAAAGATGGCCGCCATCAGGGAAATGTGAGCATCCATGGGGACAAGATGGCTGCCGTTAAGGCATGGGCAAGATGGCTGCCATAAAGAGAATGGAATCATCCATAGGGACAAGATGGCCGCCATCAAGAAATGTGAGCATCCAGGAAGACAAGATGGCCGCCGTTATGGGATGGACAAGATGGCCGATGTTAAGAGAATGGGATCATCTATGGGGACAAGATGGCTGCCATCAGGGGAGAAGCAAGATGGCCGCCATAAAGAGAATGGAATCATCCATGGAGACAAGATGGCCGCCATTATGGGATGGGCAAGATGGCCGCCGTTAACGCTGCCCCGTCACGTCCATCTCCGACAGCAGCGCCTCCTCCTCCTGGTGAGAGAGGGAAACAAGATGGTTGACATTATGGGATGGGCAAGATGGCCGCCGTTATGGGATGGGCAAGATGGTCGCCATTATAGGATAGGGCTGAGGCAAGATGGCCGCCGTTAAGGGATGGGGTTGAGGCAAGATGGCTGCTGTTAAGGGAAGGACAAGATGGCTGCCATTAGGGAATGGAGTCATCCATAGGGACAAGATGGCCGCCGTTATGGGAGGGGCAAGATGGCCGCCGTTATGGGGGTTGGAGATCAGGCAAGATGGCTGACATCAGGGAATGGGATCATTCATGGGGAAAAGATGGCCGCCATCAAGGGAGTGGCAAGATGGCCGACAGAAGGGGGTGGGACAAAAGGCAGGGCAAGATGGCCGCCGTTAGAGGAAAGACAAGATGGCTGCCATGAAGGGAATGGAATCATCCATGGGGACAAGATGGCTGCCATTATGAGATGAGCAAGATGGCCGCCATTATGGGAGTGGGGTTTGGGGAGGGGCAAGATGGCCGCCGTTAACGCTGCCCCGTCACGTCCATCTCCGACAGCAGCGCCTCCTCCTCCTGGGCACAGGGAAAAACAAGATGGCCGACATTATGGGATGGGCAAGATGGCCGACATTATGGGATGGGCAAGATGGCCGCCATGAAGAGAATGGGATCATCCATGGGGACAAGAGGGCCGCCATCAGGACAGTGACAAGATGGCCGCCATTATGGGATGAGCAAGATGGCCGCTGTCAGAAAATGAAATCATCCATAGGGACAAGATGGCTGCTGTTATGGGATGGACAAGATGGCCGCCATAAGGGAATGGAATCATCCATAGGGACAAGATGGCCGCCATCAGGGGAGTGGCAAGATGGCTGCCATTAAGAGAATGGAATCATTCATAGGGACAAGATGGCCGCTATCAGGAGAATGACAAGATGGCCGCCGTTAAGGGATGGACAAGATGGCTGCCATTAAGGGGTTGGGGGTAGGGCAAGATGGCCGCTGTTGAGAATGGAATCATCCATGGCGACAAGATGGCCGCCATCAGGGGAGAAGCAAGATGGCCGCCATAAAGGGGGTGGGGCAAAGGGCAGAGCAATATGGCTGCCGTTATGGGATGGGCAAGATGGCTGCCATAAAGAGAATGGAATCATCCATAGGGACAAGATGGCCGCTGTCAAGGGAGTGGCAAGATGGCCGCTGTTAAGAGAATTGGATCATCCATGGGGACAAGATGGCCGCCATTAGCGCTGCCCCGTCACGTCCATCTCCGACAGCAGCGCCTCCTCCTCCTGGGCAAAGGAAAACAAGATGGCTGACATTATGGGATGGGCAAGATGGCCGCCGTTATGGGATGGACAAGATGGACGCCATCAGAGAATGAAATCATCCATGGGGACAAGATGGCTGCCATTAGGGAATGGAATAATTCATGGGGACAAGATGGCGGCCATCAGGACAGTGACAAGATGGCTGACGTTATGGGATGTACAAGATGGCCGCTGTTAAGAGAATTGGATCATCCATGGGGACAAGATGGCCGCCATCAGGGGAGTGGCAAGATGGCCGCTGTTATGGGGGTGGGGCAAAGGGCAGGGCAAGATGGCCGCTGTTAAGGGATGGACAAGATGGCTGCCATTAAGGGACGGGCAAGATGGCCGCCAAAAAGAGAATGGAATCATCCATGGGGACAAGATGGCCGCCATTATGGGATGGATGGGGTGGGGGATGGGACAAGATGGCCGCCGTTAAGGGACGGGCAAGATGGCCGCCAAAAAGAGAATGGAATCATCCATGGGGACAAGATGGCCGCCGTTAAGGTGTCAGGGGTAGGGCAACATGGCCGCCGTTAAGATGGTTGGGTGTATCCCAGGTGTGTTTTTACACCCAGGTGTAACCCAGGTGTAATTTATACTCCTAAGTGTATCGGAGGTGTAAACTCGGAGTATCTCTCACCTGTTTTGTGGCCGCCAGTCTCCTCTGCAGGTGCTCGATTTGCTCCCAGGTGTATTTTTACACACTCAGGTGTATCCCAGGTGTATTTTATCCACCCAGGTGTATCCCAGGTGTGTTTTTACACCCATGAGTATCCTATGAGTAACCCATGAGTAACCTATGAGTAATTTCCTCACCTGTTTTGTAGCCACCAGTCTCCTCTGCAGGTGCTCGATTTGCTCCCAGGTGTATTTTTACACACTCTGGAGTATCCCAGGTGTGTTTTTACACCCATGAGTAACCCATGAGTAACCTGTGAGTATCCTATGAGTAATTCACTCACCTGTTTAGTAGCAGCCAATTGTCTCTGCAGGTGCTCGATTTGCTCCCAGGTGTATCCCAGGTGTGTTTTTACACCCATGAGTAACCCATGAGTATCCTGTGAGTATCCTATGAGTAATTTACCTGTTTAGTAGCAGCCAATCGTCTCTGCAGGTGCTCGATTTGCTCCCAGGTGAATTTTTACACACTCAGGTGTATCCCAGGTGTAATTTATCCTCCTATGAGTAACCCATGAGTAACCTGTGAGTATCCTATGAGTAATTTACTCACTTGTTTGGTGGCCGCCAGTCTCCTCTGCAGGTGCTCGATTTGCTCCCAGGTGTATCCCAGGTGTGTTTTATCGATCCCAGAGCATCCCAGGTGTGTTTTTACACCCATGAGTAACCCATGAGTAAACCTGTAGTAATTTACTCACCTGTTTGGTAGCCGCCAGTCGTCTCTGCAGGTGCTCGATTTGCTCCCAGGTGTATCCCAGGTGTGTTTTTACACCCATGAGTAACCCATGAGTATCCTATGAGTAACCCATGAGTATCCTATGAGTAATTTACCTGTTTAGTAGCAGCCAGTCGTCTCTGCAGGTGCTCGATTTGCTCCCAGGTGTATT